AACCATTTGAGCGATTTGCACAGCACAAGTGGATAAATTTAATGCGAATCGACTAATAAGCCTGTGTCAGCGGGGTAACATATATACGTGCGCAATGTACGGTCACACAAGTTGACGACTGACCCCGAAAGAACACAGCCTCATTTAATACACAACGCACGCCTGATCCATCCGACTATTCAATTGGAAGTTTGTACAACGCGTTGATTGTTGAGTCAACGAATTGAACCTGTGCCACCGTCCTTCCTTACTTCCTTCCGGTCCGGAAGAAAACAAAGGGAATCTGATCCCACTTAAAATTACTTTACCTAGAAGTCAAAAGGTAAATCGTCATGTCTCTTGTCCGACCTATTCATCCACACGAGTCTGTTTGGTTATCCGGCTTCACTCCGCTGGACAAATTGAGTCCTGACTTAAGCCCTTGCAGTGGTCCGACGCCGTTCGAACGTCTTCCATGTGCGAAATCAGGGGCCTCATCTACTTGCCACTCAGATGATTCCGGTATTGATGGCACCGTGAATGTGGGGTCGCAGTCCCCATTGCCTGAAGATACGGATGATTCAGAAGATAGTAATTCCTTGGACGGGTATCATGAAAGCACCCTGAACCGACATGACCAACAGAGCGGTCGTGGCATATTCAGACCCTTGAGTGCCTGTCTCTACCATGACCTGCCGCAGGGTGTACGCAATATTGCTGAAACCGCCCAGTTGTCACCTTCCGGATCATGGTGTACAGCCGCATCACGTGACTTGAACTATCATCCGTGTGATTTAACCACTGGAAAGAAACCGGATGACAATCGTTTTCAAATACTCTCCTACGATCAACTATTACGGCTGAATGAAATCCTCATCCGGCGCTTGCCAATTCACAGCCGTCATTCCGGTTTCCCGGTGATCTGGGTTCGGCTCAGTGATTTGTTTGAGGCGGTGCGACAAAACTTGCAACAGTGCGCAGTGCCATTTCGCGATATGCGCTTGAATGGAGGTGCCGCATCCTATGTAATTGGTAAGTCTGACAGTAACCATCTTGAAGCACCATGTATGTGTACAAAATTTAAGATCGGGCTAGGAAGTTATTTTAATTCGCCAGATAATTTCCACTAGCCGAAAAGATTCACTGATATACTCAGCTGTGCTCTGAACAGATTTCGGCATCAGAAAAATGTAAAAATGACTACTTTATATCTGAATATGTATAGCTTACTTCTATTCTCATAATGTATCATCAATTTGGCCTAATTACAATCGACATTTACTCGCAGGTCCTATTCTAATCGTATCACCAATCTAAATACAACGGACAATTTTGGAGACCATCTATGATGTATTTATTATCGTTATCAGTGTGATATATTCCAGAGCACCAAATGCCCGAAAGCTCGTCCTGACGAAATCAAAAGTCACATTAAATGAAAGTGAACAAATTTCTTGCATATTCGTACAATATTGCTACACCACGTTTTACTCATTGCAACGAATGTAGTTCTCTTTGTTAGATTCAGCCAGGTAAACCATCTTCCTAAACTTTGTATAAACCATTCATATTCATTCCAGTAGTTTAGTTTGCGGTTTCCTCGGAAAAGGCTGTTTGCATTAGATAAACATCGTATAAGTGAAACACTACTACGACCGCTACACTTACTGACACTCAGTTGGGCAATCCTCAATGATTTCATAGCGTACTTTTCCTAGTGAGACTCGTGCATGCTCAGTGGTGCGTGAATGCATACATGGCATGTCTTACACATAGTGCTCCGTTACTACCTCCATCACGAATAACTAATTATCATATATCTATTACTGCAAACCATTTGAAGGGAGATATCGGAATCCTTCAGTCACTCCTCCAGAAAATGAACTCCATTTTGAGAGTCAGCGGGAATCAAAGATGACAAAGGATCTGCTTTCCCTTGCGCATACATTGTCACGCATCGAGAGAAAGGGTCTATCTCACTTAACTTTAGTTTCTTTTCTAAACTGTTTTGGCCGCGGGTGAATTTTCACAGCAATCTGAATTAGTAAATATCATCGTCATTACCATATTGAGAATTATTTGCAGGATCGACCTATCAGTCATTTGTTCCGAACCTTTTAGGATGAAGAAAATATTAGCCCGGTTTTCCGGTTCTCCTTGTGGGCAACTTAGCCGAATCAACATAGCGTGATGCACGCTCTGAGAAAGATTGATCAATTTAACCATTGACATTACTGTGTAATAGATAATATTTCTAACTACAGATGTTCTGTACAACGTGAGATGAAAGTATTATCGTGCTTGTAATCCAAGTACCAATTTTGATATTAACTTTCCCTTCGATAGTCTATTATTATTATTGTTATTAATATATTCTATCATTCTATTTTATATATATGTAAACCACATTATTATTATAGTATTATTATACATATGTATATATAGTATACGTTATTATCGTACATTATTCCAATTAGCTTTATTCTATATACTAAGAATTGATGGCTTAAGCTCTTCGCTTGGTGAACCGTCCGTCATTTCTTTTGCAACCGGTGTGAACGCATCAGTCGCATGCTGAGATATGGTTTTGAACATGATGGCCTTCTTTCACTCATCCAATTCAGTATAATAACAAAAGCATATATGTCTATTTCCGGAACACAGAAAGATATTTTTGTACACAGATGGTAAAGTCATTTGCCTCTTGTTCTTTCATTCAGCTGTAAAAGCAATGTCATGTGAAAAAAGAAGCATCCGTTAAAATGAGAAACTGGAACATTGTGTTGGACAAGTAACAGTTGAGGTAGCACCGAAGACGAGCTTGTTTGCTACTTTGTTTTCTCATCATTGGGTTTATTTGCTCGTTGACGTCAAGGTAGATAACAAAGTTTGATATTGGACTATGACAGTGGAATAGTTAAATCATAATGGTAAATGCGATCGGTGTTGTAGAAAGAGGGAGGGGAGGACAGTTCACATTACGTGTTAGGGTGACAACCACCATTATGTCATATTTCTTTGTATACATAGTTACGGCTTCAAGTAAATCATAAGTGTCACTCCTGAAAATCATAAACTCGTGAGCTTTGAGGTTCTGCAATCATCACAAACGTATTTGATGCGTTGGCTTGGTCACTACAGTCTAAGAAAGGTGGGGCAACTGCGTTCGATAATAGCTTTTCCATACAAAGATCAAGGTCTTTTTAGAGATATACGCACATTTTGGTAGACAGAAAACGGCTTATTCGTCAGATGTAGCTCTGATAGCAGATAAATTGTGGCATTTCTGTGTCGGTGCGAGGTAGGGTTTACGTCACACAAAACCGAGTCCTACCAAGTTGGGTGACATTTGCTCCCCTCCCTCTTCATTAAACGCCCCTCCCCCAACCCCATGCACCAGCGTGATTTTTAAACAGTCTCAATTCATAACTTGTCACCCAGTTATGTAACTCACTTGTCCGCCATCAGTTTATAATGTCTCATTGTAACTGGTATACTTCTTTGTTTCATATGATCGAATTAATATGCATTTTATGACTGAGTGGGGGGAAATGGAATTAATGACCATTATCAATGCTTCACATAACACACGTTAATGAAAGAAAACTATATCTACCCTGTAGTTCTTAACGTTTTCATCCTGAAGATTGTTCCGTATATACATGGGTCCAAGGAGCTCAGTGGTAACTCATTGTGCTTACCATAGACATCTGACATGGAAAAGATGATCGCACTCAGTCGCCCAGGAAAGTATAACGATTTCCACTGGGTGGTATTCTAACTCTCCTATTTTATACACCTGAAGCGGGAACATTCCGAATAATTAGATGCTTATAAACGTTCAAAACTTACTGGGAAACAATTACAGTTTGGATGGATCTCTAAGTATATATTTCAATGGTGCAATATTGACAGGGAGATGTAGAATAATAAAAAAACAAATGGTTGTACCAAATGCCACATCTAGTGGTAGTAACCGAGGTAACAGGGAAAATATTGTTGTCGGTTTCGAAATTGTACAAAATTAGAGAAGAGTGGAAGACCGGAGCATACAGGGCCACAACCCGCAAAAGGTATATCACAAATTTCTAGGTTTTGTACCGCCGACCTAACGATCAGGTAACACGCAGTTGTGGGGTAGACAGCTTTGCTGTCGCTCGGTTCTGTACCAGGCCTAAGCTAGCGGGACCCTATGTGGTTCACCACTCCAAGCCCCGGGGCTTATGTTGCCAATTACCATCACTAAAACAGCAGGTCCGCGTGACTATGGGGTTCGCCTCGACAGCTATTCATCATACACAGGTGTAATAAAAAAATTACTGATTTTAATTTCATTCAGGGGAAAATTTAATGTTGAGTTAAAAGTAATCCGTCGTCCAGTACATCAGTATTATCCAGGACTGAGTATCTCTAAACTGCTTTAAATTCGAATCAGGCCTCTAACGAAATATTTGAGGAAGAGGTATGGTTTGTGAATGCAGAACACGATATACCTGAATCATGTCAGATTTAAAATGAAATGCACGGACATTGCAACATGATGAACTAAATGTAAAATGTAATTACCACTACCTCAGTGTCTTGTGAAAAAACTGAAAGTTAACCAGAACGAGCATTCATCTATGAAAAGTTTGCAGTCTTATCCAAGGCCTCGGAAATAAAACGCAAACAGAAAAAAAATGGTGGCGCTTACTTTGAGATTTCATTGAGAATGTTGTTCATACAGTTAAAACAGTGGAACCAGTAAACAAACACAAATGTTACTTGACCCACTTCGCTGAAGCTCAAGCAAAACTCACACATGACTGCATACAAAGTCAATTGGAAAAGAAGTAAACATTTGTAATGTAATGATTTCCTTCGTTTCGAATGCCAAACTGAGAGTCAGTTTGGAAGATACAACTGCCAATTGAGAAAGTCATTTTTCTCTGCTGATAAATCCCTGCTAATTCGCATTGATTGAAACAACGAGGGTCAACGTGCTAATGCTCCATCTATTTTATTCGTACCTGCTCAGGTGCTTCGCACATTTTAGTGTTCACCACAAGGGTCAATCCCAGGGCATGTCTTTCAAGACGCCTGTGGCAAGTTCATCAAGTTAGTGACGGGCGTAATTCGGCTTCTGATCACCAGAGAACAACCCAAAAATCCAATAAGGAATACCTCGTTTTAGAGGTCAGCGACAACAAACAGTATTGGCCAAAGTTGTGTACTTGAACTTCGCACTGATTAGAGTCATACCCTCAACGTTCAAAAGCAGAAATTATTCACTGACCGCATTATGTGTTGACGTGTTTGTGGTTCTTACGCAGGCAATACGAGATACGAAACAGGGATGTAATAACCAGCTTTGAATTTACGCCTACGGGTGATACGAGGAGTTTCCAGCAATGTTTCGTTGTCTATCCTTCAGTAATTCAGGATGGAGATAACGTGATTCTATGAGGAGTAAGTTGATGCTATTGACGTTTACCTTCCCCTCTATAGTAATTGTCCGTGAAACCACTGTTAGAGTAATTGGTGATCTTGATATGAGACGACTGAAATGCATTTCACCATTACGTTGAACAGTATCGCTAAGATTTAGAAAAACAGACTTGCTATAGTCAATATCCTTAGATAATTGTACCTTGAACTGCTTTCTGTCTCTGGAAAACATTTATTTTCAAGGAGTAACCGTGCTTATACTGTGGTAAATACCGAATAAGTGTGTATTTTGGAGTAATTGGAATTTAGCTGATTACATTACTAGCAATATGCTATCGTTAGCCGGTTCTTGGAGTACCTTTGAAGGGAGAACTGATGCTAAACTGTCTCGAACGCATGCCAACCATGGAGAATAACCAAATTAATGGTTTTCAGACATCCAAAAATTAGGGAGGCCATGGATAAAATAAAATATAAAATCGGTTGGTTTGCACGCACCATGACCTAAGACTGATCCTTCGTATGTGGTATAAATACGTTATTTACTTTATTCACATTCTGTACCATCCGCGATACATTTATGCGCAATCCCAACAGGCATCGGGTACAACCCAAGATGAAATGGCCTTGAAATAAAAACTCGGCCGGATTTGAGGCCGACGGTCTTCATGGGGAAGTCGCGGTGGAACTCAGATGAAACCCT